TAAGTTTAACCCACATTAGGGATGATATTGAAGTCTCCCATTAGTAACCAAGGAGAATAAGAGAAGATGCCAGCATGGTGTATAATGTTCTCCCACAGGTGCTGCCTTTCATTAACACAGTTAGAAGCATATATGAAAGTAGTAAAAAAGCTGGTGCTAAGACCAATGATGCTAATGCTGCAGTGAATGGCTTGACCATTCATGTCAATGACAGAGAGATTAATAAGGTCAGGATTCCACATGATCCAAATTCTACCCAAGTGTGAGTAGTCATAGTTGTGAACTATAGACCACTTTGGGGCTATAAATTTATGAATAGAGTCAACTTTAGCAGGGGAGACCTTTGTCTCTACAATTGAAACTATATCAAGCTTCTTATCAGAGATAAGCCTCTTGATCTCTAACTGCTTAGAGGGTTGATATAGCCCTCTAATATTCCATGCGAGGAGAAATAACATAAAGGGGGAGGGTTCGGGGAACCTTTATGAGATCTGTGATCTAGTACTAGACCTTCAGATATCAACTCAATGTTGCTGAGAGATTTCCTTCTAGCAGCTTCTTTCATGCTTCTGACAGTTAGATTGTCCTTCTTCTCTATTGAAGATGTTCCACATTCAGCTGGAGAAGTGACTGGGGATGCAAGGGTATGACATTTTCCCACAATTCTATGATGCAGCTGTAATTTACCCTTCTTTGTGTAGTATGGAAATGTGGAGGGAGAGCCATTCCTGGAACCAGAAACTGTGATTAAGGATGGAGGGCTGCATTGTGAGAAATTGAGTTTTTTACTGCTGAGTGGTGAATGAGTAGGTGTATGAGGTGAATTAGGGTTGGGAGGGGTTGAGAATGTGTTGTATACCACTATGCCTGATGAGGGTGTAGTGAGATCATGGGAAGGTGAAGATGTGGTGTTTGATAATGGTGAGAACTGGTTGGTATTGGTGATGATAGGGGCTACCAGTGGTGAGGTTTGTAATGTGTGTGGTTTAGCTCTTTTTTTCTTTCTCACTGTAATCCAGTCATTGGTTGTGGGGTTTATAGCTGGGGTATTATCTTTGGGAGATTGTGGACAGATCCCTGGAGCAGTAGCTATGTTCTTGCCTTTGTGGTTGGGTGGATTGAGAATGTTGAGTGGACAATGCTCCTCAGTGTGGTTCAGTTGGTTACACCTGGTGCAAAGCTTAGGGAGCCATTGGTATTCAATTGCTATCTGTTCCCAGTTATTGTCCTCTAACTTGATCTGTATTTCTTTCAACAAAGGTTTGGAAAGGTTAAGGTTTTCACAAATCCTTGCAAATTTGAGCTTGGTTATGGACTCTGTAGCTTGATCAGCATAAAAGGGCTCCCCCACTGAGCTTACAATGAGGCTAAGACCCTTGGCAGTCCAATATTGTATGGGAACATTGTGGAATTTGATCCATGTAGGGATACACCCATGCTGCTCAAAGTTGGATTAAGACTGCTGCTTCCATTTCCTTAGGGAGAAAGGGTGACCAGCAATGGACCATGGTCCCAATAAGAGAACATTATCAGCTTCAGAGTTAGAATTGAATCTGAAAATTTAAGAATTTTTGTCTCCTAAGATGGTGTGTGTCAGGCCATGAGTTTTCCAGATTTTTAATGCTGCAGCTTGGATGACTTTGAATGGTATTCTTTTATGTATGGAGATTCTTATAAGGTGGTTTGCATTCCAGAAACTGTGGCATTCTTTTGCAACCTTAATTGGGGGTTCAATGAGGGTAGGAGAGTCAATGGGAGGAGGTAAGTATTCAAAATTCATTTTTGTTTTGTTATGCGTGACCACTTCAGACCAAAGTTTTCTTTTCTGAGTTATCTCTTGAGGTTTTGTCTGAAGGGTAATGGGGTGTTCAGTTGGTAAATTTGTTTGTTAGGTAGTGAGTTGTTCAATAGGTAAATTGGCAGATGTGCCATGTGGTTTTGTTAGGTTGGGGTTGACTAGTGATGTCAATGGTTGCTGTAGATGAATAGGGTCTGATGTAAAGGTGTGAATATGTGTGATAGGAGTAGCCATGTTTGGGTTATGTAAAGGGGTGTCCTGCAATGCTGATGCACCAATGCCAAGAGTATTCGAATTCAAATTTAAATTTAAATTCAAACCTGGGTCCACCATGGTAGTCTGGCCGTTGTGTGTGGTGGTAGGAGTGGCTGTGGTGGTTGTTGAGGGTGGCTGCAGCCCCTTCTGAGTTCTGCCTGTGTTGATACATGGACCTTCAATGGTTGTAATGCCAAATCGACCTGCACTTGGGAGTGTTTTCTCTGTGACCAAATGAGTTGTAGATGTGGATACTGCATTGAGTTGATTTGTGATGGTGGTTTCTGGATTTGTGGTCCTTGTGGAAGTCTTCTGTGCTTTGACCATTTCAAGCTCTGATCTAAGCTCAAAAATTGTTTTCTTCATATCATTGTACATATCAAGAGCTCTTCCTAAGTTTTCATCCTTCCATTGTAATTGCTCTGTGAGTCTTTCAATCTGATGACCTGGTGAGCTGTAGAGTTTTGGATTGAAATTCTTTGGTATGTATCTACTGTTTTTGTTTGGGTGTGGTGGTCTGTTAGCTGGTGCATGTGATGGCTTAATTTTCTTTGTAGTGATAGTGTTGTGGTTGAAGGTGGATGTAAGTAACCTGATGGGCTTTGTGATGGGTGGGGGGAAATGAGAAGGAGCCTTCCCATTAAAAGAAGGGAGAATGGGGGGAGGGTAAATTTCAGTAGATAAGTTTGGAAGAGGTGGTTTAGGATTATGAACCTTGTGAGTGCTGAACTTTTGAGCCGAGGAGACTTGCGATGAGCATGGTGGATAGATAGGGTTATCATGGTGCTGAGGGAGTGGTTTTATATGATTAGGGATGGGGTTTGTCACTGATGGAGAAGCTTCATGGTGAGTTGGTGTCTTAGATGTTGGTGAGTTAGTGTCTTAGGTGTAGGCTTACTGAATTACCCAACCTCAATAAATAATCGATGTGATTCATTGTCTATCAGGGGCAATAAATTTTAGGTGCCGGGGGTGGCAGATTTGAACTATGTAAAATTTTATAAATGGATTGTACTAATCATACTACATATACCTCGAGAAAAATCACATATGAGAAAAAGTACAACTTAATAAATAAACGAAAAATTGTAAAAAGAAACAATAAGTTGCAAGTAAAAAAGATAAAAAAAAATTTACTTTATCAATTGTTTGGATATTTTTAAAATCTAATTTTTTGAAAAAAAAATTGGAATACTTTGTTTCCACTTAGGATAGATATACTTAGATGAAAGATTAAAAAAAAAAAATTGATCTTTAACCATCCAAAATATTTTAAGTTTAAATTAAACAAGATTATTATAAAGAACTTGTCGTTTAGAAAGTGACAATTAAGAGTACAAGAATATATGATATTTTTATTGTTATTAAAGATCTTATCTTCCTTCCCACTATTCATAGGACTCGCCAATAAAGATTGTTATATAATTTTATTACTTTTTTCTTGCACACAACATTTTATATAAAAATATCTGACAAAATTTCATACATTTTTATTAACATCAGACAACATTAGTATTTTTTTATCTTATTTTTTTTTTTTCATTATAGAAATTGTACATGTGTATACATATGTAAATAAAATAATAATGTGTTGCGGTAATGACTATAATAATAATAAACTTAAATTTTTATTTCATAATATTTGACCTTTCAAAAGTACAACTAAAGGGATCCAAGTTGAAAATTTCGGTGAGATACAAACTAAATTAATTTTCAAAATTTATATTTTGGGGACTAATTTTAAACTCTTTATTTTGAGTCAATATATAAGTGTTTTAGAAAAAACTCTCTATAAGTGTTTATCTCATACAAACTGAGGATATACTTGCCATGTTTTACTTGTGCGAAGGAACTTGATCATGTGATACTTTCAATGTAATATCGGGTTCTATTTCTATGACGGGAATTCCTTTCTATTTCTATGACGGGAATTCCTCAAAGTTTTTAAATAATTATCTGAATTTGTTTAACTCGATCTCATTAACATTCCTTTTATTTATAGGAGATGAAAGTGCTGGTTGATACTTGATAATTCTATTTAGTACTTAATTCTTAATTAATTATGTGGTCGAACTACTTACAGAATAAGTGTCACTTTAAAAAAAAAAAAAATACATAAGTGAAAAAAACTTCACTTATTATTGAACACGGAGCCCTTAAATTTCATTTTTAAAAAAAATATTAATTTATAATTAGCACTTAAAACTTTAATACATAAAATTTACCAAGAGCCTTGTAATATGATTGTACTTCCTAAAAAAGTGGAGGGTTCAGGTCCATATAAGAGTTATGTGTGAACATATTTATTGATAATGAAAATAAAATTTAAAGTTCAATTCATAAAAATTTCTCTACCATATATACTCAATTTTACTATTAAACATCAAGTGTTTGAGTCCTACATTTTTTACTCCCTACATTTTGTTTTAAGCGAAAAACATTATCTGTATGTATATATATATATATATATATATATAGAAGAATACACAAAAATTGTATCATTTTACTTTCTTCCTTTTCGTTTTTACATAAGTAATGTTTAACAATTAGGCTCCGTATTTTTAAAATTTTTTATTTTTTATTTTTGGGTATTTAATTATCGTAAAATATTTAGAAAGAAAAAAAATATTAAAATTTAACAACAATAACTTATTTATCAATTTTCAATAAGTTATTTTACATGTCAATTAGAAGTAAACTTTTGTCAAATACCGATAAAATAAAAATAAAAAAATATTTTATCCTAAAAAAAAATAATTAAAAAAAAAATATTTTACGCCAAAACAAACACAAATAGAGCGTTAATGTTTTAAAATTTTCACAATATGATTTTACTGGTCTAATAATCTTTATTTCGCTCAATATTCAATAGATAGGAGACGGCAAATCAACACTGCACACATAGATATAATATACAGTATATTATATACATATATATACCTCACTCCACCGAATAGCGTTGCCTCAAAGTGCCAAAAGCTGTGCCCCAAAACAGGGCTAGAGCCTAATGCCTTCATCGGACGACAACCGCCGCCGCCTCATCGCCGCTGCAGATCCGCCGGAAAAGGGCTCCGATTCTAAAGCCGAGCCCGAAATCGATGATGATGATGACGATGAATATGAATATGAAGAAATAGAAGAAGAAGTGGAGGTGGAGGAGGAGGTAGAAGTAGAAGTAGAAGAAGAAGACGACGACGACGACGAGATAGGTGAAGATTTATCAGATTCACCCATCGATGAAGATAGAAAAGGTCAGTTAATCCATCGCTGAAAACGCCTGTTCTTTTTCTTGAGAATTCGATTATATATCAAAAATTTATGGAGGGATTTTATCTTATTTTTTGTTTTGTATCATTGATTATGCAAAATGTTGTTGCTATAATCTATGTTTTTTTTGTTATTTTTTTTGATGTTCTGATTTTTTTAAGTCCACGATTATTTCCTTGTCTAGCAAGCATGTGATATATGAATTTGTTTTGGAGAACAATGAAATGCTAACATACAAATGCCTATTTGATTTGGAAATTTGAGTCTGTTTGGTTCAGAATCATGTGCAAGCTTGCTACTTAAGCAAATTGGTTCATATTATACTGTTCCTATTTTAGCTTGATTTACTTGAGATTTGAAATGAATTTGTTAAGTAATCTGACCAAATCGATTTCTGGAGTGTACTTACATTGACTCCACATTTTGAATTTTGAATGTTGTATGGTGGAATAGCTAATGTGCATTTATCAAGTTGGTTTGGCTAGTGTAATTGGGAAGTTTTTGTCTGTGTTTTATCTGTCTCTAGAAGAGGCTAATTTTTTTGTCCTGGTTATGCTTATTATCCAATCAGTTTTGGAATAATCCCATCATACCAAAAATAAAATAAAATGGAGCCTTAGTTATTTTAATGGACATTCCAAGGAGAGACCCCTCTCTCTCCCCCCCCTCCACCCCCCAAAAAAAAAAAAAAAAAAAAAAGAGGCAGCTGAAGAGTGACAATTCTTGGGAAGAAGAGATGTTCCTCGATTGCAGCTTTTACTATTTGACTCATTCCGCTTCTTGTTTTAGATAAGACACCTGGAAGGTGATTGGCGATGGAAAATAGACACATTGAAGGTAATTGGTGATGGAAAATTAGACACATGGAAGGTGATTGGCGTTTGAAATTAGACAGATGGAAGGTGATGAGCGATGGAAAATTAATGGATGCAGCAAATTTCTGTGGTCGGCTTTATTGTTTATCAAAGTCCTCCTAGCAAGCAGGAGAGAGAGAGAGAGAGAGAGAGAGAGAACCAAATTCTAGAAAGTACCTTGGGAGAGAACTAGTTGCGTTATCTGTTCTATAGATGTACACGTTTTTTTATGAGTGATCCCCATGAAGTTAGAAAGCTATAAAAGTTAGGAACATTCTATATGGCATCTGATATATTCTTATACAAAAACTTGCATTAGTTACTTAATATTAATTGAAACCCTAAAGGAAAAACTTTTAGGTGTTTCTTTTATTTATAAAGTGGTCTCTAACTGCATTTTTTTTTTTTTAAAAAACCGATCTAGGTTCAAAATTATGATCCTTTATTGAGATAATTGAACTGGCGTTTCCTTGTTCGGGGAACTTTTACCTTGTTTTGATTCTTTTGAATTATTGGATTTAGATGTTTACTTTCTTGATCCTTAGTCCTTCCAGAACGGTCATCCTTTATTTTTTTTTCCCTGTGATTTATTTCTTTGAAAATGAAAGGTTGATCCTCGCATGACTCTTTGGATTGAAGGAGTTCCATTAATTCCAAATATTTTTCCTTTTGAAGTGGAAAGTTGCTTCAATTGCATCTTCTTGATTTTTATTTAAAAAATATACTTAAGAAGTTTTTCTGGTTTATGATTGCAATTAACCCTAGACCTTCCCATGTGAAATGAATCAATACTTTCTGCTTAAGCTCAATCGTAGAATATTACATACAAGTTTATGATTCAATTAGGAAAAGAGGAGTTTTAGTGGAATAGAACATCTGTTTTTGAGCCAGGAGCACCTTCTCTCCTACGTAAAATGATTGATTATTTACCGAATTGAATAAAAAATAAATGAAGAATAATTTGAGTTGTTTGGCTTGTATTTGGTTGGGATTTGAAGGGGCAAGAAAGATGAGAAGTCCGCCCCCCCCCCCCCCCCCTCTCTCTCTTCCTGATAAGTAAGATTAAATAAAATAGTGCTCAAAAGGGGAGTGCGTCCTGAGAACAAAAGCGAGACAAAGAATCTAGAAAATGCACTATATCCCCTACTGATTTACAATTCCATCCCTGAACCAAAAGAATAGACTATAAAGAACAGAAAACTTTTTTTTTTTTTTTGATAAGTATAAAGAACAGAAAACTTAAGCACCCAAATCGGAACCCCAACGCCCTCAAAAGCGGGCATGCCATCTCACAACACACCCTCTCCACCACCTCCCCTATCTGGCAGCCTCAATGCAACCATACTAGGGCATTTCATCATCTTATTTGGTAATAAGCTTGTGAAGTATTGTAGATTAATGCTCGTGTGCAGATGATTAAATAGGGAAGAAATTTTCATTGATATTTATGATTAGTTGTAAATAGAACTGAATCCAGAAGAAAGAAGGAAGAGTGAGAATGGTCTAAATACACATATCAGCATACTTGATTTGAATTGTGAGTTTTAAGTTTGTGAATTGTGAGTTTTAAGTTTGTGAATTGTGGTTGGATTCTAGGTAATAAAGACAAAATCTTATGCTCCGTTTGGTTGGAGGGATGGAAAAATAGATGGAAGGGAGAGGGGAGGGATGGGTGAGGCATATCCCTAGAGAAGGGAAGGTGTCTTACCCCACTTTTTGTTTGGTTGAATGGAATAGATAGTAGAAAGGATGGATGGGGTAACACTTTATTCTTGTTTGGTTGGAAGGAAGGGAAATAGAGTTTTTATAGTCTTTTTACTAATATACCCCCATTCTATACAATTATAAAAAGTAGATATTTATTTTAAAATTTTGGGAAGGTTAAAAATGAAAATTACATATTTGTTGGTAGTTATTCTTTTTTTTTTTCCCTCCTCTCGTCCTCCCAATTTTGGGCGGATCCCTCCTTGCTTCCTTCCTCTTTTCCCTTCCCTCAACCAAACACTATGGGCAAGTTTGGTAGGGTGGAATGGAATCAAATAAGAGGAAATGAGAATGCTTTTTATTCCATTCTTGTGTCTGGTGCATGTTTTTAAAGGTGGAATGGGAATCCCAAGCCGTTCTCCGAGAATGGTGATTTCACCAAATTCATTCATTCTCTTGACTAATGGAATGGACATTTCATTCCCGCATGGAATCAGATTAAAAAAACTTATGACCAAAAAATCCCATCGTTGCTAACATCACCACCGCTGCAACCATCACCAAACCCACTTTTAAACAACATCACCGTTGCAACCACCACCAAACCCACCCAAAACCTCCATCACCACCAACAATACCTTCGAATATAACTTTACTCGCCGTTGTGGGTTCATCTTTGCTCACCTTGGATCCGAATCCCGCCATTTCAACTCACTACCCTTCGAACTCCATGAATGCCGGTGAGAGCCCGGAACTGAGCTTGGAAGTGGATTTGCTGATGATAACTATAACAGAGCTTCAAAGTGGGTTCGCGGGTGAGAGCCTCTGTCATCGTTGCTTGTCGCCGAAATCGCGACTATTGCAGCCGCTTCCGCCGCCGTTTCAATCCTCCATCCTCGCTGCTCGTCGCCGCCAATCAGATCCTCTTGCTAGTCACCGAAATCGCGACTTACCCCTTTCTTTGTTCACTACCGTCCTTTCTTCTTTCTTCTTTCTACTTTCTCTCCTCTATCAATTGCCCTAATTTCTTACTAGATCGAAAAGAAATTGGGTAGAATTCGGTGGTGTAGATTTTTCGGCATCGGTGGCACTCGTTGTAGCTGGAACCCCTTTCAGTCCGTCCAGCTTCAAAGTGGAGTGAGTTAAATCTGGGTTTATTTCTCCACATTGGAAATCATCAAATTCTTCCACATATGAAACAATTTTTTACTTGCTTCATCAGAAAATTGGTGATGGTGATGGTGATGGTGTGGTGGTGGAAGAAGAAGAAGGATGAAGGTAGTGGTGGTTGTGGTTGTGGCGGCGACAATGAAGGTAGTGGTAGTCATGGTTTTTGTGGTTGTGGCTGTGGCGGCTACAAAGAAATGGTTCTCTGTGTCTGTTGCCTCCAAATTCATTCCACTCCAACTTTTATGCTAGCCCAACCAAGCACATGAATGGGAATCATTAATACAATCACAAACACCATGATCACCAGTACCTTCATCCTTCTTCTTCCTCCACAACCACAAACAGAGAGACTTATTTCATCGTCGCTGCCACAACCACAACCACAACCACAACCACAGCCACAACCACAAACACCACTACCTTCATCATTCTTCTTCCTCCACCACCACCACCACCACCACCAATTTTCTTTCGAAGTCAAAAATTGCTTCATATATGGAAGAATTTGATGATTCCTAATGTGGAGAAATAGACTCAGATTTAACAGACTCCACTTTGAAGTTCGCCGGACTGAAAGGGGTTCCATTCTACCCAAATTCTTTTCGATCCAATGGTAAGAAATTGGGGAAAGAGATAGAAAGAGAAAGTAATATTCACGATTTCGACGGCGACAAATGGCGAGGATGAAGGACTGAAATGACGGCGGTGGCGATTGTAATAGTCGCGATTTTGGTGACAAGTAGCGATGACAAGGACAGCGGTGAACAAAGATGGGCTCTCACCCGCGAACCCACTTTGAAGCTCTGTTCTCATCGGCAAAGCCACTTCTAATCTCAGTTCCGAGCTCTCATTGGCGTTCATGTAGTTTGATTCAGCTCATCGGCGAACCCACTCCGAAGGGCAGTGAGTTGAAACAACGGGATTCGGATTGGAGGTAAGCAAAGATGAACCCACAACGGCGAGCAAAGTTATGTTTAAAGGTATTGTTGGTGGTGATGGAGGTTTTGGGTGGGTTTGGTGGTGTTGTAGTGGTGATATTGTTTGGAAGTGGGTTTGGTGGTGGTTGCAGCGGTGGTGTTGTTAGCAATGATGGGGTTTTTTTGGTCATAATTTTTTTTAATTTGATTCTATGGGGGAATGGAATGTCCATTCCTTTAGTCAAGAGAAGGAATGAATTTGGTGGAATCACCATTCTTGAGAATGGTGAGGATTCCCATTCCATCTTTAAAACTATGCACCAAACACAAGAATGGAAT